ATACAGACAAATAAAACTTGCCATAATAACTATATTTAAGTGTCAATGTATTTAGTTTCTACAACTAATTGGGGACACAACATGAAAAAACAACAACAAATAAATAAATAAATTTAAGGGAAAAAATACCATAAAATAATATAACATAAAGTTAAATATTAAAAAAATTATACCTATATCTATTTATATATATGTTAATAAAATTTAGATATATTGGGAACTTATAATATAAGATATATTCACAAACACTAGGATCAGTACTGCAAAAGATAACTTTGACAAAAATACATAAGGTCCTAAACCTTTAGAACTATACATTTCTTTTTCGTGTAGCAAATACTTTAATTTGCTATCCTTTTTGCAACTAATTTTAATGAAAAGAGCCTTTTTGACAACATGTRATTATACTTGAGAAATTGCACCGCGATAATTGATCCAATGACCTCTGTGTTAACAGTTGTCCATCAAGCTTTTTGATGTAAAAATATACAAAATTAGGAGATGTGTTTGTTTGTGGAAAACGAGTAACGTTCACAGTACAAATACGACTGAATGTGTGACCTACGCAGGGGAAAACTGGTTCGAGTTGAAATGGTATAGTACATTTTGGGGCTGTTTGGATTTAGGATCATTTGATATAGCATGATAATTCTGGATAGGCTCACTCATAATAGTTCGCTAGCAAATTGATATCTCGCAATCTCCGCGGACCGACCCTTTCCGAAAACGYTCGACATCTTTTAGTGTGGGTCTCCAGGGAACGGCGTGTGCATCAGTATTTGACCTGAGCGTATTATGCATCATAGTATTCCCAGTGACGTCGGAGATGTAGGGGGATATAGCACCCCACCTTTTCTACCTGCAAGGAGATGTGCAAGTTTAGTCTCCGAGATGCATCTCAATTAAAATACTACACGTATTTTATTTGAGATGCGTGGCGGTTGCTAAGAAACTTCCTTGTAACTCAAGCCCAATCCTAACTAATCCGTTTATAAATAGTTTCCGAGTCGACGGTATTGCTATTTGGAAATTTAGAGACTTTTCATGTCCTGTAGGTAGTGAACAAACTATTAGCTATTGATGAAGCTTTCTAAAAAATTATTTGCTGGAGAGTTGGCTTGAGCTGGTTTCTTCTACAATAGTTAAGACATGTCTTATAGCTTTTCAAAACGATCCTCAATCGATAAATCTTACAGACTCGCGGATCAAAACCTGTTTAAACAAGTATAAACCGGATATTATGCATCTCATTATCCAGATTCTTGGATAACGGCATATAAAAGAACAACCAGACTTCGCACAGTCTCCTTTTTCTCTCGCTCGGAAGAAAATAAAAGCAGACTCTGCCATCAGGGTAGTACAATACCTTTTGTTAAATTGAATTTTTCATCAAACTTTTTATGTCCTTTTATTTATTTATTATTATTTATTATATTTTGTCATGTTCTTTGTAAAATTCTACATCACAGGTTGGCAGGACGATCCTGTTGGTATAGCAGACCGTAATATTATCCCAGATAACAGATTTACAGCATCTTCATATTATGACTCTAGATATGCTCCAATGAATGCACGTCTGAATGGAGCAGCCAGAGGATGGGCACCAAGGATAGCAACCAATCCTAATGACTATCTACAGATAGACTTGGATCAAGTGTTTGTTATCTCTGCTGTGGCTACACAAGGTGCGAATGGAAGAAATGAATGGACTACGGAATATAAAATATCAACATCTATAGACAAAAATGCTATGGTATGGGCTACTTACAAAAATGGAATGGCAGACAAGGTATTTTTGATTTATGATTAACAAATGAATGCAAAATAAAATGATGACTTACCAACGCAACAATTATCAAAAATAGCCAGTTCCTAGCCTGTGAAGTCTCACTATCACTCAGAATCCTATTTTTATTCATTCACAAAATCGCTGTTTTTGATGAAAAGTAAAACCCTTTGGCGTGCTTTAAAGCCTGTACAATTACTAATCAAGCAGCACACGCTCGATCTTTAGACATGTTAAGCAACAGCTTTGCACATCAGTGCTATTTAAGAAAACCCCAGAAAGATCAAACAACAATTCTAAATGACAATTTAATTTCAAAGATGAACTTAATCGCTTTAGCATGGATTTAATAAATAACAACAAATACATTTTTTTTTTCTTATAAAAAGTAGTTTTGCTGTTGCTAAGAGTAATAATACTGTCGTCAAGAATGTATTAGATGATGCTATTTTTCTTTTAGTTGTTTACTGGTAAAACAGATATTAATACTGTTGTCAAAAATGTCTTATATGTTGCTATTTTTCTTCTAGTTGTTTCCTGGTAATACAGATAGTAATGCTGTTGTCAAGAATGTTTTGGGTGTTCCAGCTTTGGTCAGATACATCAGATTCATACCAACAGCTTACCACTCATGGAAGACGATGCGGGTAGAAACATATGGATTTATGAAAGGTAAAAATTCACAAAAAATGAGGAGCCGAATGTTGTCTGTGTTAATCGAAAATATCAATTCAGTCTCAATAGAATTATCCTTACGCGGTGAAAAGATGCAACCTTTGCCAGCAATGAACCTCGAAGCCATGTAATTAAAATTTGCTTCCTATAGTACTATTTTTTACGATAGTAAGTTTTTTTGACAAAAGTAATAAAATTGATAGGTCTTCAAAGGTTCTAACATTCTATTTTAGATCTACAATGGACCTCACCAGCACCAACAGTGGACAATATCACGTCGACGTCAGCAATCGTAAGATGGGGGAACACAACAGGAAGCCCATTGCAAGCAAATCTAACATTCTATATTATAAAGTACCAAGACAACAACACTACCCGTACATTAAACGTATCAGGTTTTGAAACTAGTGTCAACATCACTGGTCTTTCACCAAATACAAATTACAGTGTTATAATTAAAGCTGTGAACAAAGCTGGTCATGGACCGTGGAGTTGTTCTACGAACTTCACAACGCTTCCAGACCGTAAGTATAGAAAGTTTAAAGCCCCGTCCACACGTACCCGAAAATGTTTGCATCCCAAAATTTTACGCAAATTTTACGAAAACGCATACGTGTGCACGGTGAAACGATTGGAATACGCTGCGTGTGGACGCAAACATTTTCGTATCCGCAAAAAATAATTTGCATATACAAAACTTTTTGGGTACGTGTGGACGGGGCCTAAAGCTTTCTGAGTTTGCCCATTATGTAAACGTACTTGAAAGCTGAGCCAAAAATATATAATCAACTCTCGTCTTTTTTGCTACATTACGAAAACTGCTTCTCGCTATAGCGGACAAGAGAGAAACTACGGTATTTTATTTGACGTTTTAACAATAACCGGTACTTCTTTTGATTCTTTTCCCGTATACATAGCTTTTATTAAACGGGTGCGATGTCCACGTACTGTAAGTTTTAGAACGAGTTTTTTTCACTGCTTTATGGCCCAAGCGCGTAGCTTGCAAGCCTAAAAAATGGGGGGGGGGGGGGGGGGGGGGGGAGGAACACGGTACGGACGTCGCACTTGGTTAAAAAGGCGGAAAATCAAAAAGTAATGTTAGCAGACGCATGTCAAAAGGGAACTGCATTGAAAGGGCTTCCTGTACGTGCTACAAGTTATGCATGTTTTAGTCGCTCAATAATAGAGGTTTAGATAGATTTTTAAAGGAATTTAGCCATAGTATTAAAGTTTWAAAAAAATGCTAGTTGCCAAAAGTGAAACCTTTTTCGCAAAATATTCGAATGCAAAGAAAAAAGCCAACAGCTCAAGAGCTCAACATGTGCTTCGGAAGGAAACGTACTTCAAACTTCTTCAGCTTTAGAGTTCAAGATTCACAACCGAGATGGAAAAATACTCCTTTCGTTTTTTCATCCTACATTGTAAAAATACTCAAAAACCCTTCAAAATTGAATCAGAATCTTCGTAAAAACTACGACTCACTGGACATGGATAGTTTTAAATTTCTTCACTTTTTTTATGCAAGTCGGCCTTAAACACAATCATAACCGAAGACATACTTTCAACTTCGTGAAAATTTTCCCTTCACAAATTCAGTTAAATTCAAGAGAGAATGAAATATTGTTAAGTTTGGAAATACTTCAAGAGTGGATTAGTCTAGAAAACTGCTTAAGTACGTCATCAAAGCCAGCTGCTTCTTCACCGGATCGATTCACAAAAGTTTAAATTGACGATGTAACCTTCCTGAAATAACACATTTACTTGATGGCATTGTAAACTTTTTCTTGTTATCGATCATATGACCTTAAAAAATGCTGCTATTCGATTGGCTGAGAGGAGTGTGATTTCTTCTTAATAGAGAGAATGAAATATCGTTTTATTGATCCTTGTCTTAGACGTTACGTTTAATTTTGTTTCGTCTTTATAGGACCATACGGTGATCCATTGTCAGTTACAGCATATCCCCTATCATCACAAAGTGTACGTGTTACTTGGCATGTAAGTTATTGCTCTATACATTACTCTACAATATTTGTTTTAGATAATGCAATAATATCCTAATGCATAAGTGTTTCTAATGTCTGGTAGTTTAAGGTTGTATTTATGAACAATCATGGTTCCTGGTGTGATGCCTTCACGTGTCAAAGTGAACAATTCATGTTTGGTCAGGAATATATTCCTAAAACTTCTTTGTATATTTTTCAAACCTCCAAGGGTAACCAAAAACTTTGTGTTTTCTTTAAATGTTATATTAGTAAAATGGCCTCTTTCGATGATCAATAACCACTGCAAAACTGATAACTTTTTAACGTAAACAATGTTTCTCATATTCTTTTCTCAAATATTCAGTCTTTACAAATTATTGTCAACAGATTTTTATGCTCATTMATATTTACATTCGTATGTTTTGAAGGCCTCAAAGTGTGGATCCAATGGTCCTATTAGAGGGTACAAAATTATGTGTACAGCAATATCCATGAATGTTACCAAGGAATATGTTACAAGTGCTAACCAAACAAGCTACAACATTACAAGTTTAGAAAAGTGGACTGAATACCGAATCACAGTAAAGTGCTTCAATGACAATGGAGAAGGTCCTGCCAGTGCAGAGGTCACTGTACGTACAATGGAGGATGGTAGGTCATCGGAAATAATTCTCTATTAATTTGTATGCGTTTCGACCCACTCTCATCACATACCCGGCACCACTTCAAGATAATTTTTTTCCAATTTTTTTTTTGAAATGTTTCATCTTTATCCACATTTTTAAAAACTTACAATAGGAAATAGTAGGTCAACAAAAATAATTCTCTACTAATTTGTGTGTATTTCGACCAACTCCTCTCCACACCACACAGCACCGTTAAAAAAAGGAATGTTTGAAATGTTCATCATCCGCATACGCTGTGATGTAAGTAGTACGTGTATTTAAAACTCACATATTCATCAAAGTTATACGTACTTCAGCCCCAGGTAGACCAGAACATTTTGAAGTAACGGTTCTCAGTTCTTCGTGCATTCAACTGGATTGGGCTTTGCCATCTGAAGCAAATGGCATCATACGAGGATTTAGAATGCGGTATGAAAAACTTGTTAAAAGCAATGGCTTTTTAAGAAACACGACTTTGCCTGGTAATGGAACTTTAAGTTATGTACTAACTGGACTGGACAGTTGCACTACATACTCCTTCAAAATATTGGCATATACAATCAAGGATGGTCCATATACACATGAGATCCAAAAAACAACAGCTGAAAAAGGTGAGACTTTATTTAATTTTTGATTTCATTTGATTCCCATCCTATTAACTAATTTCAAATGTTTTTTGATCGCATGTCAAAACTGTTGACTAGAGAGAGTTTTGTCTATCAAAAAAGACATGGATTCCTTTCGATGACATTCACGACAGTCGATTTAGACATGTTAAAAACACTACTTACTTTCCTTGTGATTTTCAACCTTAGTTTGCCAGAGCAATGCCGTTGGTATAGCAGACCGTAATATTATCCCAGATAACAGATTTACAGCATCTTCACAGTATAACTCTAGATATGC